ATGATGAGGGTTGCAAACATGCCTGGGTGTTTTTCTGTGTCTCGATGAGGTTTGAAATGACCACCTGGTTCATACAGCAGCAGTTTGTAAAGGTGTGAGGTTACTTTCTGCTTACTACAGCCAAGACCATCTTGAATTTTAGCTACAAGATGTGTAACAGAAGTGACAAAACTTGGATTAGTGATCTCAAATTTCTCAGGGTCAAGCTGCCAAGAGTCTCTGACTGCCTTGTCAATTAATGTATCTTCACCAAGGCCATACGGTGCCTGATTGAAATGCTTTCTGAGATCTTTCACTGTCAATTCTGTAACTGGTAAACTTACTATACCATAACCTGATATCTCAATACCAGGTGTCRTTGGAAGCTCTTTGCTAATACCACCTACTGCAAATTCAAATGTTTTCTTTTCCTGGATTTCTGAGAGAACGTCTAGAAGATTATCTCTTAGCTGCTGTTTATTAACAAAACTCTCAGCACCAGAATCGTCACTCCTAAGTTTTCTTCTTTTTAATGGACTGGAAACASTCATGATTAGCTAAAAGTAGAAGAAAAAGCAACATTACTTTACTGTTAATTTATTCAACTGTTAATTTCATTCCTGGTTTCAAATTCTGGTTCCTTTGTTCTATTCAGTTAAAGAAAGTTTTACAAAAATTATTAGGTAACCTTGAACCATCTTACTATTCATTACTAATGCTACCAATTAATTTTTACGATACCATACATTAAAATTTTTCTTACTGTTAATCGATGTTCATTATTGGAACAGTTTGCAGGCTAGAGGGCTCAATTAAAATCATGTCGGGTTGTCTTGCATGCTCATGGCCAGATGCAGAAAATGCTAATTGCATACTTATGAAAAATTCCACTTATCCTCCCAATGCTGAAAGATTCCTATGGAGAAGTTAGCAACAACAGTGTTCTGACTGGGAATTTCTTTTAGGAGATCAAAGGGCCCACCAATCCAAAATTTAGGGGCCATTTAGAAAACTGGATGGGCCATTTCCAAAATCTTAAAACAAAGAATAATAATGTTTTTTTGCCAGTAACTCTGTTGCAAATCTAAAACAATGTAAGACAGTTTTTTATTAGTAATGTTAATACAATAAACTTGCGCTGGGCAGCCAATTACTTGAGCCTCCAATAAACAAGGTCAGTTAACATAGACTAGTCCCAGACCTTTTGGCGAGTTAAATACGAGATGGCGGCTATTGTTCGATTTGTGTCGTTGCAGACTTTCACCTTGTTTATTTACTTTTGTTATTTCAAAAGTGCTCTAACTCTTTTAAAATTATCAGGAAGTATTCTATGGATAATTCATGCACCCTTGGGGGCACATAGAATTGAAATGTCTGCGCCATTTCTGTTTTTTATGCGCAATGGCACGGCCTGGTAAGAACACTGCTTATAACCAAATACCAAAACTTTATCCAAATATAAATAGAAGTCAGTATTAATTTCAATCAGGAATACTTGGGAATGGAATATTAATATCTATCTGAATAATTAAAGAGTGGAAAAATGAGGATGATCAAAGGTTAAGAGAATGGAAGCRCCAGCGCTGTGGGCTTCTAATGCATAGTTTCTCATCAATGTGACCTGTGTTGGAGTCCCATTGGGCTCAATGTCATATGTGAGAAGAGTTGCTTGTTGCTTGTCTCTGGTTTTCCTCCCTCCTTAAAAAGCAACTCCTAAATTTTAATTCGATCTTTGGCTTTCACCTAGTTATTGTCACACTGTGATACAAATATTTTTGACTTCACACCACATTGATATTTTGTATCCTGCCAAACACATAAACATGAATGGTACCTAATTTGGCTCTCTAGCKCAGTAGTTCTAATGTTTATCTGTCAAACAGGTTTGGTATTAAATCATCATCACTTTGCTGGAATCTCAAGTAGTYATTTGTTTCTTGATTTAAGAATTTTTCTACAGATGTCATGGTYGCTTCATATTAACATTTTAACTGAAATTATTTCATTTCTTTCGCCCATGAATTTCTCAACAACTGCTTAATATCAGCTTAATAAATAACTCTAACACCTTGGTGTGAAATCAATAGGAGAGCGAAAGATAAATCGCCACTAATCTCTAACRAGTGGAGTGCTTTCTTTCACGCTACTGACCATGCGCAAACTAATTTTGGCGCGAAAACCTGTCCAATGCAATATAATAAATCTCTTTTTCCATTTCCAGTTTTATYAAAATATAACTCCAATGAATAAAACTCTTTGGGGAAAACTTTATTTTCTTAAAGTGCTTATGAGCCTTTGCACAATATTTTCAGAATTGATTCTTTAGGTAGTGAATAGTTGATTGTGAAAATATTTCGTCATTTGAATGTCGGGTCTTTAAGATACGAAGGTTTTTATTCCAAATATGTTAATGACCATGACGTAACATAAGGGATCATTTAATATGCAACACTGCACTTGTTCTGAAATACAGTATTTTAAAAGCATCACCCTTTTACTCGTGACTCACGTAAAGGTTCTTACAAATTTGTTTTCAAAAAATGTCAAGYGTTCAATATTAAAAGTTGCCACAAAATAACTCAAATCCCTTGTTATGTCATAGTCATTAACATATTGGAAATATAAACCTTCGTATCTCAAAGACCCGACATTCAAATGACAAATTGTTTTCACAATCAACTATTCACTATTTAAAGAATCAATTCTGAAAATATTGTGTAAAGGCTTATAAGCACTTTAAGCAAAAGGGTTGTACGCTCTGTTCCAGTGTATACATGTTTTGACAAGCCTGGTAAATACAGCTTTTGAAGTTATGGATTAATAATTTCTTTCCTATAAATTGCTTTTCATGAAATATCACAAAAATACACTAATTTAAAATCAAATACGCATTAATTGGTTTTCTAAAATAGGACTTACGTACTATTTTTAATTTCTTTAAGGATGTTTTGAAAATATTGGCAGCATTTGTCGAKGTTAGTGTTGCTGCTCGCATTACAGCTTCGCAGCAATTATAGTAGAACGTTTTYGAAATGAATCTGCACATTATTGAGCCTAACAGTGTGCAGCCCTATGTCAGTGTTGTATGTKTTTTTCTGTCAAATAGGTTTTGTAATCATGAATGACATAGCGCTAGGGCTCCATTTCTGGGATCTCGGGTTCRAATCCTCGATTTGGCATCACATGTGAGTAGCATTTGTCGCAGGCCTCTCATTATAATTTAGTCTTTCTTTTCCGTATTCTCTCTTTTCCTCGCTTCGCAAAACCTAGCACGCTAGACATCCCTAACTTTTAGCCCATTCACACCACGGCTTAAACATGTTTAAAGTGGTTTAACTAAACAGGTTTGGAAAACTATCTACAATAAACACTGTACAATCTTTGGTGAAATAATGCATGTAAACTATCCTTTGTCTTGCTCTGATAATATTTTAGAAAGTTTCATTATATTGTAGGTTTCTAGTTTCTCGTATTTTTTCCTAATGAAAACATAGCTTAACTAAACACGTTTAGGTGTGAATGGGGTATTAGATCAGCCAAGAGGTCGTTTTGGGCCTGGAGTTCGGGTTAATTTAGTGTCAATTCTTCTAAACTTCTAGAACTTTATTAAAAATCAACTATGCTTTTTTCGTATAATCTGCAAAGGTCACTCTTAAGTCATTGTACTTTTTACTTTTAGACTTATTGCTTCAAAAATACTTTAACTTTGTGCTTAGGATTCCAAGATTCTTAGATCTGACTTGACAGTCGCGCTTCGCTTGGACGGTCGCTTCATATTTTAACCGAAGTTATTTAACTTTCTTCGACCATAAAGTCCTTAACAGCTTCTAAATAAACAGATTTATGATAATACTAAGGATACAATAAAATGACACGTACCTTGGCGTGAAATCAAGAGGAGAACAAGAGATAAATCACCACCAACCTCTAACAAYTACATGTGCTTTCCTTCGCGCACTCCAGAAATACTGATCATGCGCAAACTAATTTTGGCGCGAAAATCGCCTGTCAACAATGGTCAAATGATTCTTTCTCTTTTTCTGTTTCTGGTTATATCAAAACATAATACATGATACATAAAACATAAAACATGATGATGCCATTTGATGAAAGAACTGACGTAGAAGACAAGCGACTCTTTGGGGTAAACTCGATTTTCTTAAACGAGAAGGTTGTAGACTCTGGTCTAGCCTCCTAACGTTGCGTGACAGACACTAAAAGGCTATATCTGGTTCAGTGCACAGGTTAAATACAGCTTTTCAAGTTACTGATTAATAATTTCCCGCCAAAATTGCTACTTATGAAATATCGCCAAGAAACCGTACTGATCAAATAGCCATTACTTATTCTTTAAAACACAACCTACCTAACCTCTTTAAAAAGATTTTGACATGAAATTCATCCGAAAAACCTTGGTATCCCAAAACACAGGGAGCCCAATTTCAGCTTTTCTTTTTCAATGGGGGAAATGGGTAAGCTGCAATGTATAATTACTCAGAGGCATGGCCAGAATTTTCAAAGGGGGTGTAAAGATTTTTTATTTATTAGGGGGGGGGAGGTTGGGCAGGTCAATCTACATGGAGAATAGGCATTTTGCAATAGTTTTACACAATCATGATTGTTATGGATGGCACAAATAAATTGGACCTCTATTTAAGATTTTTTGCTGGGTTACTGTCCTATCCAAAACCTTTTCAAAAATACTTTTTTCCTTGTAAGATACTTTTGATTTCAAAATACAAAGCAGTTAAATGTTTGTCCCATAAAGCAGTCGACTCGAAACAGCCATACACACCTCATTATTTTCCTACTACATGTAATAATATTCTCTGTAACTTCATATACTTTATCCTACAATTTTGTAAATAACTTATCCTTTTTATTTGTGTGTGAATAAATTTGAACTTGAACTTCCCCAAGGGACCTTGAGCTGAATTGATTTATTAGCAAAGTGATATATCAGCAGSTGACTGTTTGTTGCAAAAGGCCTATTCTCTGGCTTTTCATATGCAAATGTCTTGAACACAGGAAGCTCAATATCAATGCTTAATTGTAATGTATTTTGGGCACACAATACTTTTTTTATTTCTCGGGAGGGGGGAGAGAGTTTTGCTTTATAACCCATATCAGAAATCTGCCCCCCCCCCACTCTATCGTTACTTAAATTGTTCTCTCCCCTTTTTTAAATTCTGTTTGTTTGCCCCCCCCCCCCCAAATACTCTTTATGGGTCCCTCGAATCCCATTACATTAACAAATTTGGCCACCCTTAAAATCATTTACAATRTAGAGACTTTGCACCRTCACATGATGGTAGCCATGACACCAGGCACCAAACAATRGATTCTTTTCCCCCTGGGAAACTGAATTCTTTCTCATGTAAATCAGATTAGACCAGATTCAATTGTTCATGCATCCTGGCATGGCTGCCATCATGTGATGGTGCAAAGCCCCTACTGAGCTTTACCTTAGGTTTTGAGATGCAATTTTTAAAACCAAAAATAAAAACACAATCAGCTGCTAGATGATCCATAATTAATTGGACGCTATGTAAAACTCTTCAAATAATAAAAAAAGTGCTAAAGACACGAATCAAATTTCCTTAATTGAGAAAGAATCTTTATC